ACAAAAATATTGACCCCGAGAATGGGGGGGGTCCCCTTAAGTCCATTTTATGTTCTTTGATTTTCTGGTAAAGTTTTCTAAACATATTAGGTTATGTATTTGATCATGTTTAAGTGGCACAAAGCCACAAATTAAATTTATACCCCTTAACAATATTCTTGAAACAAATCAAACACAAATATTTCAATATATGAAGAAAGGACTTAATCCACTTTGAATGTAAACGACCTATATATGACTCCCATTCATTAAATGTATCAAAAAACAATACTCTATGCATTAATATTATATATATATATATATATATATATATATACAGTACATCTGTAAGCATGTAAAAAAGTCTTAAAGTTCGGCCAAAACTTTTTATACCCTGCACTATGTGGTGGGTACTAAAATTTTCTCAAAAATGGTCGGGCACTTCATTTTCGAAGCTTTTTATAATTTTTTGCACTGGATTTAGAATTTGCTTTTAATGAAAGGGAAAACAAACAATTCTTCTTAAAACCCCCTTTGGAAACCCAGCTAGCAGTTTTCTACTACCATGATAAGCTTTCAGATTTTGGGGGTCCCGTGATGATGTGATGACATTCATATTACACGATTTCACATTACATAGTCAAAAATTTCTGTAGAGTACATTTGCTTGGTGGTAATGATACCGCTCCATTGATATTTGTATTCCTGCAAATTTCTTCTCGAATATAGTTTTGAGATCTAGTTTTGATTTCATATAGATTTTATATCATTTTAATTCTGCATAATTCGGTTGATTTTTAATTCTGTAACATAGAACTTCAGCACAGCAGGACTAGCTTATACTAAAAACGAATATTAAATCTCCTACAAAAAAATTTACTTCACATTGAAAAAAATAGGCTTCCTGTATTCCACATATTGTTTGTTGTTTTTTTTTTTCTTTTTTGGCTCTGCTTTGCCCACTCCCCACATCAATTTACAAATAATACGGAAATTTTTATTCACGCACGCATGCGATCGGCTGCTTTACTCACTTACTGTGCCTATAAACGATGATTATGCCTGAACTTGCATTTAATATTAGCCGCCTGTGCACACCCAATCGTAGCATGAAGGAAACATTTACGAACACATTTCTCCGCATTGCATCCATCCATTTCTTCTTCTTTTTCTGTTTGGTCGGCTTATGTAATTAATGAATGTTGATGGTTCACAATTATTTGTATCGTAAATCGAGTGAAACGCAAAAGCACCTAAAAATCGTTAACTTAAAAAACGTAAAACAAAATGAAAACTCAACTGAAGTAAATTTAGCAAATTTTAAATTGTATTTAATAACAACAATTAGTATTTTTACTAAAACTTTAAATTTTACATAAATACTTCGGAAGTCGAAAAGGAAGAAATTTGCACTCACTATAAACTCCATTATGAGTTGGGCATTTAAAATATTGGTATATGCCTATATAGCTCCCACATAGGTATTTAAGTATTTTGTGTGTCAACACATCGATATATATGAACATTTTTCGGTGCAAATTTTAGTTTTTTACCTGCTAATAACACCGAACACCAAATTAAAGCCACTTCATTTTAAAAAATGTAGCCAAAAACCTTAAAAAAATGCTCAAAATTAGGAGGAACCTATTGAAGTCACGATAGAGCACACAAAATAAAAGATATGTGTGTTTCTATTTTTTTTATGGCCTGTATTTCTAAATTTTTGATTCTTATTGAGTAAAACATCTCCCTACCAAAAGTGATAATAGTACCCCCTTTATTCGACTTTTTTAAACAAATTGGCTCTAAGTTAAATTTTTCAGATTCTCATAGGGTGTAAAATCTTCCTACCAAATATTATCAATATCGTTTCGTTTTGGTGTAGTTCCGACCCTATTCAATATTTTCCAACTATCTGAGAATCTGTTCTATAAATATAATTTCTTCAATAAAAATGTATTCTAGTAATTCTAACTATGATACCAAAAATAATCAACCTAATGGAAATTTATTCAAATATTTTGATTTTAATATCAATTCTAAAGATATGAAATAAATTTAGAGAATTATTTATATTTAAATGATTCGATACTGGCATTTAAGTTTTTGCATATTTTGCATTTGAATATTATTATTGACTCTCTAACATGAATATTCTTGAAGATGAGCAGTTTTCTAATAGTTGCTTTTTTTATCGCCTCAAGATAATCAGGAGAAATAGAGATGTGTTTACGAAGGCGGCAGCAGCAGTAGTTGTAGTTCAGTGATATGTAGCTGACTGATATAACTCGTTTCGTTGTTTGCCATTAAAGTGGAAACCCCCCAAAGGTGGAATTCGATTTCGAATGATCATCAGAACGTTTGGATTTTCCAGCCACTTGTTAGACTTTTTGCTCCAAGCAATGAGGCTTAGGGTGATAAAACATGATATATATCGGTATCGGCATCACATAATTTAACAGATGATTTGAAATGAACAAGTTTTATTAAACATTTGACATTTTAGTGCATCCAATAATATTCAATGTTAAGGTAAAACGAAATATATCTGTTTCGGTTGTTTGAAATAAAATATTTTCATAATTATTCATATAAGTAAACAAGGTTGGAGTTGTATTAGAGCTACATTTATTTTTAGAATAGTTTCTTGGGCTTTTAGTGAGACTGGAAGAAGTTTTCGATTTTTATTTTCAACTAAACCGACTTGTTTGGTTGGGGTCATTACACTTTGTATCGAAAATGCGAACATATTACTCATGTCCGAGCCCCAGTTTTTTTCTTTTTTTTTGTAGTGACATACATATATTTCAAACAAACCCATCTTAGTTCAAAGTATGAGTGTGTGTATGAACCATATGTGACCATGTACATATGTATGGTCTGATATGAAAAGAGTGGAACACGGCAACTGAAGAAAAACGCAATAATGTCACCCAAACAAATAACTTGGTTTAAATAACTCTCTTTCAAACACAGGCACACATAGACACAATTCGGTATGAAGTCGAAGCGACAACACTTTGATGTTCCACCGGGATGACGAGAATTGCTAAATAGAGTCATCATCAAACGCTTACATGACTTTAAGGTGTACCGTTAGCACAGGTCTTGTCGCTTGTCGTCGCGAAGAAAACAATGAAAATGCTATTCACTTCACCTCCAGTTCCGACGACTATGGCTAATGCAATAATTGCTCAAATGATATTAACACTTGATGACGACAACGGCGTTGACGATGAGGTGGCAAAGTGGGTTAACCCCTTCTCTGACCACTGGTACGTGCTGTAACCATAAAAGGTCGAACTGTTTTCATGGATAAACTAAAGCGGTCTAATTGCAACTTGGATTGTCCGTCACATTATTGTAGCACCCCTTGTTCGTCAACGTCAATGTTTTATTTTCGAGGTCATGTGTACTACTAGATTGTGTGTTTGAAAGAAAACGTTTCTATAAGAGTTGATATGAATGTGTATGTGTTATAAGATTTTTTTAATTTTAATTACATTTTATACTGTCCACAGTTTAGACGTGCAGGAATTATAGGTTTGGTTTGACCCTAGTAATGATGACACCACGAAATATTAATTTTTATTAAGCACATCTCCATTAGCTTAATCCCCGAACACCACGAAATTGTATGTGGAATGGGAACACTGAATATGAAAGATTTGTTCTGTAATCGGCCAATATTAAAGGCGTCACATGGATTAAACGTTGTGCGACTAAAGTCGAAATATTCAACCCTTTTTATGTGAATTCATCTACATCGTTTTTAAGATCCAAGGGTATCTGACATATTCTCGAAACAGTTCTATTGACAAATTTACTATTCTGTACGACTTTTTCTCAAGGGAACGATTTTTGTGCAACCTTTTTAAAATTCCCACTGGCTGCAGTTTAGTATTTTGAATTATCATTGGATAGCACATATTCCTGCCGTGAATCATCAATATTGGTCCAATTTTAAGGATAGGCTCCACATAAGGTTTTTTAAATCATCGTACCTTTACCATGGCATAGCCTATAGGAAAGATTAAAGTTCGACCCTACAGAACTTAGCGACAGTGGGTTCAAAATTTTCAATTCCATTGTATATACGTCAAATAAATCCTCATAAAGTAGGTTAACCCGGTATAAAGTTTGAATGTAAATGTCGTTTAATATTTTTAATATCATGGCATTCTTTAAATTGAAGTAAATAAATGATTTTACTAGGAGGGTTTAAGAGAGGTCAAGACTTCGAAATACGCTTCATATAAATTGGGCCATCCATTTAATTTAAAATTCCAATAAATTAATATTCAATTGTAATAATAAATTTAAGTAATTTCATTACCTTTTCGGCAATTCGTGTAACGAATTGCTTGTCCAAGTCAAAAACCTCATCATGTACATAAGCCGATCTAACTATTGTGCACGTACCTATTTGTGGTGTACTCTGTCATTCAATTTCATATTTTTTTTAACAATTTCGGTCATATGATGATCAATTTGTTTTGTTACGAATTAAAAACGAAACGAAAAAAAAAATCAAACAAACCAATGTTAGACCTACCTTCTGGCGGGCCAACCGCCCCGTCAGCTGATCGTCATGAAGTCTAGCGTATTTTTCATTGCTAATCGAAAGGTGATAGCACGCTCAAGGTTAACTGCGTTTTGTACAGTTTTTGTGCTTTGTGTTGTTGCTGATGCTTTGCACTGGTTGTTATTGTTGTTGGCATCGTTGGTGTAGATGACTAAGTTACCGAGTAACTACAATTAGTTAGTCAACATAAATAAGATATAAGATTACTCTAATCATTGGTTTTAATTGATGGGCAAATATTGAATTTCTGTGTTTTAGTGGATATGCGGTTTTTAGAACTTGTTAGCGTTTAGTTCACGGTCACTGACACTGTAATTCAACTGTCATTAGAAATAGAATTTTAAAGATATTTTTGTTTGAATTTAAATAATTTCATTAAAATTGTTTACATTCCTATATCTAATCCTATTTTTGCCATTTCATTTCTTTTTTCCAGTTTATGGTAGCAGTGCCGATTTAAATGTCGCCATCGACGATGGAGATGCTTCTCTATACAACGGTGATGCAAATCACAAAGTATGGAGCGGTTCACAGGATCAATTGGACAGCATCGTTATGGAAAGTCCATACGATATGTACTCAGGCAACACATCGACATTGGGCCGACCGGCACGTATGCGTCAGATGAGTCATCCAATTGAAGTTCCCCCACCGCCAATGAAAGAGGAAAGTAGCAAAAAGAAGAAAGACAAAAAATCATCCAAGTCATCGAGTAGTCAAAGTTTGTCCGGCACCTTGATACGGCCCAAACCAATACATCCGGCTGCAATGCAGAGGCCTGGTATGCCAATTCCGGGCCACGGTGGAAATATGATATATGGCCCTCTGCCAGGACCACCACCACAAATGATGGGCCGAAACTATCATACAATTAGTCATCGAGGATTTCCGCCGGGTCCACCACCACATCATCCTGGCATGCCGCCACCAATGATGCAACATCCACCTCCCCACATGGGTATGCCAATGCAAGTGCCCGTCATGATGCCTCAACAATATGCTACCCTTCAGCCTACGACTAGCACAAAAAAGAAGAAAAAGGACAAGAAAAATACTGGCATTCCTGTGGGTATGCCAATTGTACCACCTATGTATGCCTATCATCATGCTCAGGCAATGGGTGGACCAATACCTCCACCACCGCCACAAAGTGTCTTGGCCCAATCTGTCATCGGCGAACCAAGACCGTTGTCTGTGTCAAGTCGAAAGCTGGCCGCATCCATGGGCAACGGCCTTGACGATTCAGGAAATTCAGGAGCAGAATCTCCAGGCGGTACTGGCATATATCGGCGCAAAGGTCACTTAAATGAGCGGGCCTTCAGCTATTCCATTCGTCAAGAACATCGTAGCCGTAGTCACGGTTCGTTAGCTAGTCTTCAATTCAATCCTCCAGACATGAAGAAGGAACGAGAAATTGCCCAAATGGTGGCGGGCTTAGATTTAAATGATGGTCCCAGCCACGATGATCCCCGCGCCATGGGACCCTCAACGCTGCAACGTAAACAAGCGGCAATGATGAACGGTAATGGAGCCATTTACGGTAACGGTGGTGGTTCTGCCATCTATGGCAATGGTCCATCAAGCAGCTTTGGCAAACCTAGAAGATAAAGAAGATCACAAATAAAGTCCATCGAAGTCTTTCGTAAATGGTTTAATAAACTTGTTGGGAAGGGAGATCACATCGAATATTCGAATCGAAGGAAACAGCGCTCATGCCATTGAGGAGGAACCCATCAACAGTTCAGATTCGCTGTGAAAATTTGAAAACGACTTGTCAGTGATTGCACGTGCATATCTGAGACACCTCCCTACTCACTTATCCGCCTAAGTTTTTATTTTCCATTCTTATTGTTATCTAGGTTTATCTTCAGGATAGTCGTAACATTTGTTAGGATTTTCACAATTTAGTTTACATACTTACATACTACGACATACATCGTTACATTCATTGTATAGGATGTGCCTAGGAGTGCCTAGCAACCTATTCTTTAAAAACTCGTTAACAATAACTTAGCGATGCTGGTCAATAGAGTTATCTATGTCCATTGTTTACACTGAAGTACCCACACGAGTAATAGTCCTTTTCAATCACATCTTAATTCTTAAAGGATAATTGCATCCCAAACCCAATCCCTGTCGTCATTACAACACTAAAATTATTTGGAAATAACTTAAAAAATAAAGTAAATTCTATAGAATATAATTGTATGTGCCTTATTAGGTTATTATAAAAAAATTAATAATTTTTTTGGTGCTGCCACAATCGGTGGCAGATCACTTAATCGTTCGACCTTTACAAGAAACAAGAAGAGTTGCAAAATTAAATTTGAATAAATTGAATTTATATACATATGTATATGTAAAGCATATGTTTGTCTGTGCAAAGGAGGAGTATCTAGATCTAGTTATAGAATTAACAATTTGTAGAAATAAATATTATATTTGTAATCGAACGATCCGTGAGTAACGAAGTGGAAAGTTGTATTTGTTTTGTCCATATTAGATACATTTAGCTTTAATTATTTGTACGTTAACAGAGGAGTACGCCCAAGTGCAGACATACGGAGATATTCGTGTAAACTATTAACTATTGTATTTGAAAAAAGAAAAACGAAAAAGATTTAAAAACCCTTATTAATTGTACTATTTATAATAAAATACATATGTATTTACTGAGATGGAAATATATATAACACATATATTCTTATATATTATACCGAAACGTTGTAATTTGTAACAAATAAAATAGTCTTAATTTGTATGTATTCCAAACAATTCATGTGGCATTTTATTTATATAAATTATGTAAGTTATTTCCTTTTGGGGACACGATAAATTCTTATCCCGACGGCATATCGCATATTTGCAGCAAGACTGGCGTAAATCAAACATCGATCAATCGATTTTGCAGAAAAAACATTTTAAGTTTTCATTTTATTCACACCTTACAAGGAACAGAGGAATTTCTACAGATTCTCTATCAGGATGTGAATTCATTTGAATTTACACAACAAGAAGTCTGATATAGCGAACAATTCAGCATTATAATCTCAAAAATCATGATTTTTGATTAAAGTCGGTCTTGCAGCAAATGAGGGATATGTTCGCATATTTTATAGAGTACTATATGAATTTATTAACTTGTTCAGTCATGACTACTATTAACTTGTTCAGCCATGAAATCTGACGAATCAATTTCACAGTTCACAGTTCATGATCTTTATATTGGAACTTTGTCATTGCAAATTGTAGCCTTAGTTGTTTATTTGGGAAAACGAAATGTCAAATTACAAACACTCAGAATGGAAAACTTCAACATACTGATAAATAAGCGGAGCCATGTAAATGCCTGAACATTTATTGAAAACTTTCTGAAAAGCTATGTCAAAATATGGATCTTCTGTAATTATTTGTAATTATTTTCAGCAAACGCTAAATTGCAATGACTTTGGAGGTAAATTCGGCTAAAAACTTTTAATATACCGAAAATGGGACGGGGGATCTTTATTTGATGCTATGTCAAAACAATGACCAATATCGAAAATATTTACCAAATTTGCCGAAGTGATTGTAACTTTGGTGGTGAAGTTTTTCGCCCTCAAAAAATCGGCGGGTAAATCCGGCTGAAATCTTACACCTTCAAAATAGGATGAAATCTTAAATTTTAAATAAGAGCAAATATTATTGAGTTGGTCTCCAAAATACCGAATAATGGTTGGTACCGTTATATAAGGGTTCCAATCAGATTTGTTTTTTATTTTTTCCAGAGGTTTTAAATATTATGAGGATATTTTTTTCCTAGAGACGCAACCGGTTATATAGTTATTTGACCCGAAGTTTCGTTTCTACGGGTATTAATTAACTTATTAATTAAAGATTATAAAAATACATTTCTGTTGAGTGGTGACATATACCATTTGTGTGATACAGTAAAAATCCAATTTTTTAGCCCGGATTATTTTTTGGACCTCATACGACAAGGGCCTCTATATTCGCTCAACAATCCTCTCCCAAATGATTGAACCGAAGTTTCGGGTACGGGCACCCGTTTCTACTGATTAAATTATTAATTGAGGATTATAAAAACACCTTTCTGTTTAGTGGTAACATAAACCATTTGGGTGATACAGTTAAAAAGCCAGGTTTTTAACCCGGATTTTTTTTAACCTCATAAGACAAGGGCCCCTATACTCGGTCTCCCAAATGATGGACTTCACGGTTTGAAATATAGAGGTTATTTCAAACCGTTTTGGAGAGAAAATTAAAAAAAAAACTTTTTTGTAACCCGGACGGATGGACTGCACTTTAATTGTACCAATACAGTAATACACAGTAGCACATTATGCTGATAGAAGAATATCCCTAGCTGGGTTTTTAATTCTTATCTAGGGGGTTTCTTTAAACCGGCTCGTTGTGCATTTGAAGACTATATCACAGAAACTATTAGAAATATATAATTTCTCTCGTCAGCAATGTTTTTCCATATACTTCCGCTTACTTCAATAGAACTGATATAAAATTAAAGGTTATTCATCACTCTTTCATCCACTGGTCTGGGTCCACACAAACGTCTGGGTGCATATTGACCGGCCATCATCAAGACATTTATCTTTATCCGTAAATCGAACAAGCATAGGGTGTTTATATTCCACCACTTACATGAAATCGGCAGAAAAAATATACAGATGCTATATCAAAATCTGAATCGATTTCAACGAATCTTATTAAATGTTATTCTAGACTCAATCGGACTCAATATGTATGGGAGCTATATCTAAAGCTCAACTGATTTCGAAAAAACTTTATACAATTCATTGGCGTACTTTCTTGGGCCAATGACTTGTATCGTATCGTAACGACGAACATGCATAAATCGACTCAGAAAGTGAGTCTATGGTTATTCTATGGGTCTATCTCGGTTCCTTTTGCAAGTTATTATGTCTTTGGGCATATATTTGTAGCACAAAGACATAATAACTTGTACCCCAGTGTGGTGAAGTTTGTAAATATAGCAGCCAATTTAAAAATTCAAGAGGCCTCGTTTTATGCGCGCTACCCTAAAATGTAAGCCAATATCAGAACGAAACGATATCTCAAAGTAACAAAAACATGTCATACCACACATCGCAGAAAAAATATATTTGTTTATCATAAGTATTTACTTCAGATGTATACATCCTTCTCCTCCTTCCAAATTAAATATTACCAAACAAATTTCCAAAATTGTAGAAAATATACTTTGATTTTCTCGAATCTTCGAAGTTGCATTTAAACTTAACTTTAAAATTTGAAAAGAACAATGAATGTATAACGCAGAAGGGAATATTGATTTAATATTGATCTGCAATCCATTACAATTGCCTGATATGTTAGACGCGCCGTCATATCCTTGGCCTCTCAAAAATGTTGAATCCAAACCCAAACTGATTATTGCGTTTATAAAACCGAAAAGAATACAACACTTTTCATTTTCAACAATAGACTTCTGGATGTATTCTCCAATTATTACTATTAATTATTTCTGTATTTTTGGAAAGGTTGCATTTTTGGGTGTACTCTCCAAAAATTTTCATAGTTTACGTCTAACGACAGTATTCAGGAGACTTTACTTCCCCTCAAGTCGATGTCTTCCATTTCACACAATAAAATTGTTCTTTTACTTTTGTCCTTTCAATATATCGGAAGTTTGTTTGCCCATAATAAGTTCTGTACGTTTTGAAACAGCTTTCATTCTCAATTTAAAGTCCTGAGTCCTCATTGCATATTCGTAGTATTCCTTTTTTCGGTGGCCGGTAAAACATTCAATAGCATATTTGCAATTTTAAGGAGTAATTTTGGGCAACCACCCTTTCCTTTGAAAATAATATGAGTTCCTTTGAAAATAGGATGAGTTGGTCAATATAGTTCACGTAGCGGATCAATCTTTCTCGCTCCTTGTTTAAAAAGGAACTAGTTCCCTAATGTAGTTCCTTTGCTCTTTTGAATCTCTCTCTCTCTCTTTCATCGTTCTTTTGGTTCGTTTTTCCCATAAAATTGGACACTACTGGACAAAATATGTTATCTATTAATATTTACCTATTTTGTTTTCATTTATACAGTAATAAATTGACGAGCATATGTTCATATATTTTTTACAATGTGACAGCATCTGAAAAAAACGAGAATGAATGAAGAATCTATACTAATAAAAGAGTAAAGTGATTGACTGACTGATTTAACGATTCATCAACGCCCAGAAGAAACGGCTGAAGCTAGAATCTTGAAATTTTAGGTGAGGGTCATACTTGGTCCAAAGGTGTTGGATAAGGCTGGCTTTTTGGAAATTCGTACTAGAACGGTACGAAAGTACTAAATGTGATACCCTTTGTATTTGGCGAACCGGTGGAGCTAGAACTCTGAAATTTGGTTTGGTGGTCGTTGATGGAGTGTAGGATAGATGTACCAAAGGGTTTTTGGAAATTCGAACTATAACTATCCGAAAAGTACGAAAATGTACTAAATTTGGTTCAATTCTGTAGCTTGTGAACGGATAGAGCTAAAAACTTAAAATTTGGATTGCGAATTAGGGTTGGAAAGTTGGGGCGATATAAGGAGATGGTATTGAAACCGGGTACTCATGTGTACGAAAAGTAATATATGGTACTATATTTGTTACAAATTTAATTTAGAGGTACAAATC